CTTCGTTGTACAATTCCCTCTGGCTCTGCGAGGTGATCCAGAGCCTCGGAGCAGGGGAGGACGGGGCGAGGTGCCCCCGCTTCCCTCGGGGCAAGCAAGTGAGACGGGGCTGGGAACACCTGCCAGGCCTGGCGCTGGTGGCTTCTCTCTCTCATCCCAAGGATATTCTCTCTAGAACTGGGGTCGGCAGCTTGCGGAGCCTCGGTTTGGGATTCGGGAAATCCGCATCCTGGTCCCCGCTTGGCCATGAGGCTCACTGGGGGGATTTGGGCCAGTCACGGACCCTCAGCCTAGCCTGCCTTAAGGGGTGTTGTGAAATGAGGTGGAGAAGGAAGCTCACGGAGAGCGCCTCGGCTCCTCCACCAGCTGGGGCTGGAGGGAGGAAATTGTCGTGTGCGTCTGGCTTGAGACGGCACTCTTGACTTAACTCCCACGCCGGCTGCTTATCCGTGCCAGTCCCATCCGCCCTGCAGGAGTGAATCCCGGGGCATTTCCTGGATTTCCCCATTCCAAGGCTCCAGGAAAGGAGGCAGGCCCTCGGCGGAGTCACACCGGGGAGGCTTTTCCGCGTGAATCATGGGGAAACATCCTCCAGGCACGACGCAGAGAACAGTCCTGTCCCAACCCTTCTGCAGGGTTTGCGTCGTTTGGTTTTCATCCCCCCTGTGTGGTGCTTTCCTGCCCTGTAACTGCATCGGAGGCTCTCGGCAGCTCCTGTGTAGCCTCCGGTGCCTGGCCCTGCCTAATCTTGGAAGCGAAGCAGAGTCAGGCCCGGCTGGGACCAGGATGGGGGACGCGAGTCCTGCACTGTTGGACCCGACAGCCGCCTGGGTCCCTCCCACCTCCATGATCCTGTGTTAGGAGACCTTCATAAATAAAGCAGGCAGCAGGAGAAGAAGAGTCACCAGAAAAATTGGGCACCTGCTCGAATCTTCTCCTCTCTGGACTACTCCTCCTATCCTCCCCGGGATAGATGGAGATAGTAGTGCAGCTCCATTGGAGACCAGCCGCCTCCAGAGCGAGGAGCCGCCTCCGTCTCCGCTTCACACGTCCTAGGAAGATTCTCACTGCACCAGCTAACGTGGCCCCCCCCCTCCCCTCCCCCCCCCCCCCCCCCCCCCCCCCCCGCCCCCCGGGGTGCCCCCCCCCCCCCCCCCCCCCCCCCCCCCCCCCCGAGCTCTCCTCTCCAGCGGTGGCAAGTATCCCGGCTCTCAGGAGCCAAGGAGAGCCCCCGAGCCTTTTTTGGCAACAGGAAGCAGGTGCGGGGATTGCTTAGTGCGTAACCGAATCTTCGAGAGCCATGGCAGCGGGTTTCAAACAATGCAGGAAGGGGAAATGAAGCTTGGGACTCGCGTGGCGACAGGCATGGCAGGGAGAAGGCAATCCTGGCTTCAGGAGCTTCCCAGAGATAGAAAAAGAACTTCAATAAACTTCACTTATAGATAGATCATCTATAATCTGTACCCTCAGAGGGCTGTGCGAGATTGATCGGGAGGCCCAAGGGCAAATCCGCTTGTCTCTCTCAAATCTCATTAGGGATTTGAAGCACCTAATTTTGGAGTGGGAAAACGACCTTTTGCTGCTGCTGCTGCAGTGAGGCCACCAGGTGCTGGTAACCTTTCCGCCGCAAAGCTACCAGTCCCATCCGCCGGCTCAGCACAGTCCGCCGCTCGCCCGTCTCAGCTGCAGGCTGTGCGGCATTGACAGCCCAGAGCAGGCTGCAGAAGTGCAGACCCCTGGAGTACCAGCCCAGCCCTCCAGAGCTTCCCAAAGGGCCCCCCGCCTTCCCCCACCCCTGCTGCCAGCCACGGATCATTTGGTGGCGCCCTGGCTTTCCTGCAGTCGTTCCCCCATTCTGAAAAATCAGGATCTCTCCACCGGGGCTTAGATGAGAGAATTTCGTCTAAGGCCAGCAGCTTTTCGCTTGCACCCCACCTCCCACCGCAGTCTGGCCTGTGAGCCGAAAGAGATCCAGCCGCCTTGTATTAAAATGACGCTTCTCTGCATCATCTCCCTGCAGCTTACAGTTCCTTGCAGTACCCCCAGAACCTCCTGCTTCCCTTGTCCTTCAGAGAGGGGGACAGGAACCTGGGAAGCCCTCCCGCCTACAGCCTCTACGCCATCGAAATGCCGCCGTCCTACGAGGAGGCCATTCGTATGGCCAAGCCCTCCGTCGAGGCACCGTGCGCAGGCCAGAAACTGGGGAGCGCCCCCTCTGAGCCAGCCGCCCCCATGGAGGCAAACCCGCCCCCGACATTGCCCGAGTCGTCGGAGAGCAGCGTCGAGGGGCTCCCAGAAGGCTCAGCAGTTCCGGAAGCTTCCACAGAAGAGCAGCCATAACTGTGGGTGGAGAAGAGAATGTGGACGGAACGGCTGCGGGCAAGAGAAGCTTCGCGTCTGCGCACTTGGTTAGCCAGACAGGAGGGCGAGACGCTGGTTGTTGGACCCATAGCAGCAAACTTTTGCATGGAAGGAATGTGCCCCGTGGTTTGCGATCGCTCTCCAGTGACACTTTGGAGGAACCCTGTGAGCTGGCGGGTTAAAAATAATCCTCTCTGTGAGTGTCGATCGCCGCAGGACGCCATGTGGAACAGGATGTGTGGGGCGTGCAGCCATGGGTTGGGTGGGGAGTGAAAGAGGCCCTTCTCGGGGCTGTGTGCAGCCAAGCCAGTGAAACGTGGCCAGCCCGCGCGGGCACCGGACCGACCAGCGAGGTGAGAAACTAAGTGCGACTTTGCGTCTCCTTCTTCCAAGAAGACAGAACTATCCAGCAAATTGCTGAAAATCTGGATTCGTCGCTATGTGACGACAAGCGGCCTTTGACCCCAAGGCCTGTTTTAATGCACTCTGGGATGATACGACTGTGCCAGTTGAAAGGTCAACTCCATTGTAAATAGCAGCCCCTTAGACCCAGTTTAGGAGGTGGGCTCCACCGCTGTTGCAAGTTACAGTTTTGCATTCAAGAAAAAAAAAATCTGTTCTAGGCTTAACATTGTAAATATAAGTTGGAGTAGAACACCTCTGCTATGGATTGACTGCCAGGGGAAGGAACTTGTCCAGAGCCCAAAAGCTTGCAGTTCTCTGCTGGGGGGAGGTATTGGGTGGGCTTGGGACTGCCCCATAAGTGTTGCAGGACTATAAACAATTTGTTAGAGGAAAAAGAGGCCTTTGGAATACGAATCGACAAAAGATTAGGATGAGGGAACGGGTGGAAGTACTTCAGGCTGCAACCTTTGGTCATTGCGGGACCTTTCTCCTCGCAATCCTCGCACGAGCAATCACCAGCCAACGTTTTGAGCCACGCCACCAGGTTTCTCACTATTTGTTTCTCACTATTTCGGGCCTTTCTGAGTGGTGGGGAAGTGGCTACCGAACTACCAAGACAAGCAGCATGTCAGACTGTAGCCCTGCCTCTGTGACTTTTCCCTTCTGTTTTGGGTGTTGGGAGCAACCAAAAAGCAACCCCAGCTGCTCTTTCTCCCATTTTCCATTTTCATCTGCTATTGTCCTAGCAGAGCTGTGGTTTCCTGCTGGTGTTCGTTACCGTTGGTCCTTCCAAAACAGACGAAAAGTATCTCAGCCAGGCTCTTAGAGACAAGAACCCCTCCTGGTATTTTCTGGGCCACCATGCGCTCTCCCTGTCTTCACAGCTCCTCTTGGAAGGGGCTTCCCTCCTTTCCACCCTCCAGTCTCTTAACTGCAGCCTTCCATAGATAAAGGAAGGCCTTCTTCACACAGCCGAGAGTAAGACTATGGAATTCCCTTCCACACAGTGTTGCGACGGCCACCATCTCGGACAGCTTGAAAAGGGTATCGGACAAATTCGCGGAAGAGAAATCTGTCTGTTGCTCCCAATCCAGTGGCTCTAAGCTACCTCCACAATCAGGAGCAGTCTGTCTTGTGCCCCCCAGGTGCTGGGGAACATGAGCAGGAGGGTGCTCTTGCACTCAAGTCTTCTTGCTTCTGTGTTTCCCCTTAGGCCACGTTGGACTAGACAGTCCCAAGGGGGACGCCTCAGGCCTCCTTTAGTGACACCAAAAGTCCTGGAGAGTCCCAGGGTGGGAAAGACTGCCCTACAGGAGAAAGCTTGGGCATTTCTCATCGTACTGCAAGCAGACGTGTGTCATTTATCGTGCCCTTGCACGGACTTAAGATGTGAACAAGGTTCTAGCATTTCAAGCCAGGAAATGGCTGGTGCGGGTTTGGGTGGGCCAGATAGGATCTCTGGGGCTTCCCCGTTGGCCGTGAGCTTCCTCGCCATGCCCCTCCTTGGCTCCCGGCAAGGAAAAGCGCTTCTCTCGGATTTGCAGCTGAAACCGACTGCTTTCTCTGCAGGTAAGAGGGGGCATGGCTTGGGGGGGAAACGGCAGTGTATGTCAGCCCTGTTGGCTCATTCTGCTTGCTTCTGAGTAGGCTTCAACCTGCTTGGCTCCTGTTTTGCGCTGCCTAAGCTCCCTCTAAGCTCTCTCACAGCTGAGAACGCTCCTTTCTGCCCAGTGCCAGGAATTCACACTGACTGCAAGTTTCCCTTACAAGAAACTACAAGTGGGAAGCAAAGCTGTTTGTTTACTTAAACTTTTATTGCTGCAACTCTGACACCAGGGTAAACTGTTCCGTTTCCATCTCTGCGATGCCCACAAAATGAAGCCTTCCGCGCCGCCCAGCTTGGGTAGCCACCGGAGTGGCGGAAACATCCCTCCAAGGATCCCAGGAAGTTTTGTGGCATGAGAATTCAGTTGAAGGGATGTTTGCCCTGCTGTGAAGACTCATGATCAATGTTGCACCACCATACTGCAAATCCGGGCCGAGTCAAGCTTTTCCTCACATCTCTCGGTTCACGGCGTTTTCCCAAAGGGATGCTGAGCTTTCTCGGCCAAGATGTTGTTTTTCTCTCCGAGCGAGAGGCTTGCCATTTTGTGGATTTATATTGCAAGAAGTAAAATGGTGGGAGTGGGAAGATGCGTTGAGAGAATCTTTGTTATCCACCTGAGCCTTTCTTCCGGTTGGCCTTACTGGGTCAGTTTAAAAGATTCGCCTGTCATCATCGCTACGAACTCTGGTGAGGTGAAACAAAAACAAGAAGCTAGAATCGGGGAGTGCTCTTGCTCCCAAGCCCCCATTCTCTCCTCCTCTTCTGCCTAAAAATATTCTCAGTCAGTCTTTGCCAAAATACGTCCAAGACGGCATAGCCCAAAAGAGTATTTTTACTGCCACCCAATGGAAGTTTTAAGGAGCTGCAAGAGCTCGCCTCAGTCCTATTAATCAACAAACTCAAACTTGCTGTTGGAAAGTTGTTTCAGAAAGGGGGTCTGTGGTAGAACCAGGGGCTTCTTCATTAGCAGGAATTCTGTTCATCTGCCTTGGCCCCAAATGGCAATTCCCACAGTGGCTGGTGGAAAATCAATTTCCCCAGCAGCAACGTCTCAGTATTTTAGAGTGACTTGGCTTTGAAGAGGCCAGAAAGCCCCAGCAGCTTTAAAGAAGATCTGCTTCTGCTAGAGCTGGAAAGGGTTGGAACAGGTGTGTTGATACAGAACCACTTCATCGCCCGAGTAGGCAGCTGGCTGGCGACTGGGACTAGGGGCTACTTAGCTTGGGGTTTTATTACAAAAACCCGGAATTCTGCCCATGAGAGCTGGAGGCAACATGATGGCTGGGAAGGTGGAGCTAGATTACAAATGGTGGCATGAAAAGGTGGAGCTTATACCCAAATCTACGTTGCAATTGCTTTCCAACCGTTGAACCCTGCAGTTGGTTTGGGAAATGGAAAAGTGGTGCTCTCAGCTGAAGCAGGCATGGGAAAGCTCTTCTGGCTTGGAAGGCGATGTCTCGTTTGGGAAGGGTTGTGAGTCCTGCATTCTGCAGTGGGAATGCTCATATCCAGGACCAAAGCAATGTGGGAGGGACCAGGTAGAATGCATACCTGTGTGGACACTCACCTGGTGTGCGTGTGTGTGTGCACTCACTCACATACACACCCCAAGCCTCCAAAACACACCTCAATTCCATGCATGTCTTTTCTAGGAGTAAGCATGTGTGCAGACAGTTAACCAGGTGTCCGATTATGCATTTTAGATTATTTAAACAGGTTGATCCTAATTTAGAGTCTGTCCACGTTGGCTTAAGGAACGATGGTTCCTGAACTATGATCCTGCAGTGATGAGCAGAGTGTTAAATAAAGTCTAGAAGATGCAGGAGGGGTTTTGTCCAGAGCAGTGCGTGAGGGTCTGGCTTCTCTGCGAGAAACCAAGCCTTTCTCAGCCAAGGAGACGTTACAGAATGTTTACAAACACTCCACCTTCTCCAAGTGCAAGAACCGCTCGGCAGCCCAGCGTGACTTTTATTTTCCTAGCCAGAAAATGACACAATCCTGGCTACCCGGGACTGACCCCGCTTAAATGCAACATCCCGGGGCCTTTGACCCAAGTTTGCCTCCCCGAAGTCGCTTGCCAAGACCTCCCCACCTGCTCCCTCAGCTGAATTCATTTTCCAATACCTTCATAGTCGATGGTCCCATCTCCATCCTTGTCAGCTTCCTTCATCATGAGCTCGGCTTCCTCCTCATTCAGAGGCTCTCCGGCGTTCATCAGCACATACCTAAAAGGCAGCAAGCGCCAAGGGGCGGCCGTCCAGGTTACCTGCCACTCCCCCTCCGTGCGCGGCGGCTTTGCTCACCTTGCCTGCCCAAGAGCCGCCGAGAGTATGTGTGTTGTCCCGATCAGCTCAGAACAGTCTGGGGAACGAGCCCAGGAGGGATCCCCGCGATGCCCCCACCCTCACCAAGGCACCCGCTGGTCCACCGGCAAAGTCTCCGGGGCTTACTTCAGCGTGTTCCACTCAATGTAGCCTTTGTGCTCCTTATCGAAGACTTTGAAGGCTGCTCTCAGCTCCTCATCTTGGTTCTTCGTCTTTTCGTGGTAAATGCCCATCAAGACCAGAAACGCGTCACAATTGAAGGTGCCTTTGTCTGCGGGAAGGGAGCAAGATCTTCCTGTTTCTGAATGTGTTTCTGGATTCCCACCCGCCGTGCACCAGGGATGGGGACCTTCCTTGAGGAGGGAAGGGAGTAAGCGCTACACAACACCCTGCTTTTTCAGAGTCCTGAAAGTTCCAGGAAACCTTACAAGATCTGGGCAATTCCATGCAAGATTAAGAGCTGTGTAAACATCCTCAAGACATGGCTATAAATTAGCCTTAGTTTTTCCCCTATCGTGTCCTCCTCCAGGAATAGCCCTTTAGGGGAGATGATTATATTACACTATTTCATCATCAGTATTATTGCTACACTGCTTTTATCTTCTATCCGTTTTTCCTCTTGAGAGGAACGCAAGACACCCTTTGTAGTTCTGCTCTGCACTGAATCCTCACAACCGCCCCTGAGGGTAGGTGAGGCTGAGCGTCAGCGACTGGCCCAGACCCATCACTGCTGAACAGGAAACAGAACCTGGATGTCTGGAGTCTTACACACTAACCACTATGCAACACTGCCTCTCATAACAGCTCCATCATGGCTGAGGGCTGGTAACGGGCTGGAAGTCTCCAGTGAGTTTCATGGCTGAGTGAGGACTCAAACCCAGGTCTCCTGGGCTCCAGTTCTGTGCTCTAACCGCTATTTTTTATTTATTAGGGGTATTTCTAAACCAACACAGGGATTCAAACCCAGACTTTTAAGAACAAATTGTCCCAAGCCTTGGACACATCTGTCTATTTCTATTCAGATTTCTACTCATTCAGATTTCTATTCATCACAGGGTCTTTTTTTCCTGTTTTGGGGGACTTTGCAAATTTTGGTAAATTCTTATTGAACCCGCAACAGCGTTTCAACTCTCCCTGGGTCAGCACGCTTCCGAAAATCCCGATCCAAGTGGGTGTCCTTACTCTCTTTGTCAACATCTTTTGCCATCAGGGTCAGTTCTCGTTTGGTAGGATTTATGCCGATCAGACTCATGAGTCGCTCCAGCTCACTCGTTTTCACGAGGTCGTTTCCTTCTTCGTCGAACATCTCAAAGATGCCCTTGTACTCGGTGACCTGTTCCGGCGTCAGTGTTTCCGTCTGCGGAAGAAGGGAAACGCCGCATGGGAAAGGAAGGACAGGGGATGGAAGCTACCTGCTTGCAGGTGGAGCTGGCTGCAGCAATTTCTCTGCAAGGGGGGGTGGGCTGTAGAGATCGGAGTGCTTTGGGGTTAGAAAAAAGTGAGTAAACCCGAAAGCAGGAATGAACTCCAGCACTCCTCAGGCCCTGCCTGTTATCCGGATGAGCGCTTTTGGTTAACTAGATAATGCCCTGGATGGGGGAGAGAAGGAAGCCAGAGTGCTGACGGCTAAAAAGGGGCACACCAGCTCCTAGCCTCTCTCTTCCCTGCCCCTGCACTTCCTCTTTGGCCCTCTAGGGGGCCCAGTAGCGACCTCTACAGGTGGGTAGCAGGCATGGTCTTTTCTAGCTACAAGGAGGACAGGATGGGAGCTCATCCATCAGCTGCTCAAATCACAGGATCTCAGAGGTGGGACTCTGAAGAATCCAAGCATTTTCCACATGACCTCTAGAGGCCTTCCTAAGGTGAATTTGTAGTTCCAGTGGCTAGAATTGCCCACAACCCAATTCATGACCCGTGGCTCCCCTTCAAGGCCATTTGGCTCCTTCAGCCACAGAGCCAAACCACTTTTTTGGAGAAGCTGTGGCGATTTGCACAGGAGGTGGAAAAGCAGCAGTGGAATGTACTCGTACCTTGGCAATTTCCAGGAAGAAGGCAACGCATTCCAGCCGTTTAGAATGGGGGAAGAAACCCCACAAAAGCTGGGAGACCAGCAAGGACACAGCCAGGGAGGGACAGAGGAGGGCAATCACTAGCCAGCAGCAGTGCCCACCTGTAACGGGTGATGCCCACGTGTCTGCCATTTTAATCACCCACCATGCCCCACAGCTGTAGGCTATCTGGGGCCTTGTGTGTGATGAAAAAGTGGCTGGTCTGCAGAAATAGTCAGATCTTGGGAGAGGTGAGAGTGGGTACTAGCCAGCTTTCTGGGGGGCCCAGAAATTTCCAACCCCAGTGTTTCAGCCATGGGTGTTGAGCCTCAGTCCAGGGATTCAACGCTGTTCCTTCTGGGGTCCCCATACACCGCCCCCCCTCCCCGGGCCAAAAGAAATTCAGCACCCATGCTGTACAGTTCAGATTAAGAAGACCTGGGCCCAGCTGTTCCATGTCCTTGGAATTCCATCCTTCAAATTCATAGCGCTTACAGGGTTGTTGTGCAGGCAAAACACTGTATGCAGGCTTAATTTCCACATCCCTGGGCCAATTTGGGCTTCAACCAGGGAGTTTCCAGCAGAGGGCAGTATTGTGTAGCCCATGTGCCTCTGTCTCCCCAGAATGAATTTCTCAACACCGGAGGAGCTTCCGAGGTGTCTTCGAGAGGGACTGGGGCTCTCCCGTTCATAACTGAAAATGTCGTTTGCCTAACTCAGCATCCGGGTCAGATGCGGGGGGTTTGCACCCATCGAAGTTTCCTCTTACGGGAGTCTTTCCCCTTTTTGGAGAAGCTCGCAGAAAGACGAGCTTGGAGAGAGCGCGTGTGTGTGTTCGCTTCTCGGAAAGACTCATCTAGGACTATTCAGTGAGACCTTTACAGCGGTGACAGAACCCAAGCAATGCTCCATCAGAGCAACCCTGTTAGAAGAAACCAGTGGGAGCACATGTTTTAAATATTAAACATAATCCAATTAAATACATTTCCATATTTTTCAGAAGGTCCAACTGTGCTGGATCCAAGCCAGGTACAGCTCCCAGCACCCATGTTCTCCAGCAAGTGATTTATACAGGTAAACTGCTGCTGATTCTGGAGGTGGCATTGAGCTATGAGGACTAGAAGCCTCATAGTCTATTCCTCCATGTATTCATCCAATCCTCTTCTGAGGATGACCAAGTTGACAGCCATCACTGCGTCTTGTGGGAGTGAATTGCACCGTTTCTCTAGGCTTTTTGTACCGAAACGTTTCCTTTTCTCTCTCCTTTCTCTCCTTTCCTTCTCTTTCCTAAGCTGAGGAGTCCCAGGAATGCTTGAGAGACACTGTTTTGGTTTGGCTTGGTTCTTCTGAGAAGACCCATTGATGGACACAACTCCACTTTTGGGCACTGGAAGCCCCAAGGGAGGAGGTTCTGGTGGACTTCTGAGGTCTGCGCAGGTGGCTTTCAGAAGCATTGGGCAATCACGCCCCTACCTTGTCACCAAGGAGACACCAGGAGAAACTCAGTATGGTCCTACATCCGCTCACCGATTTCGGCAGGGCCTTAAAAAGTCCTGGGCTTATCTGAGGAGTCTTCATAACCTGCAGCAAGGCCATGTTTTGACAGGGCTGCAGGCTGTAAAATCAATATTCTGAATGACAACAGTTCATTTTCCAACTGCTTATCCATACGTACTGAAAGACAGCCTTGCAAATACCCTGGCCTGATAGACCAACAAGAGGGTCCAGGATCAAAGCAAGCCGGAGCTTTCCCTGGAAGCAAAACCGACAAAACGGAGGCTGTCGTAGTTGCGACACATCATGAGAAGGCAAGACGGGGAGAACAGTCGCTGAGGGATGGTCTAAGATTTGGGGGCTCTCCCTACAAATGTCAGAGAAATCCCTCGCATTTCTAACTGCTACACCTGGGGGGTTAACGAAGTACGATAGCGATGCAATTCACAGGTCTGCTTTCCCTCTGTGTGGAAATCCCATTTCGCGAGTCTGTTAAACAGCTATTTAAGAAAATTAAATCCCCCCTCCAAACCCAACAGGTTTCCAAAGACGTACTCTGAAGACATCGAAGGGACTAGTCCTGGGCAAACTTCCTAAACTTCCTAGAGAATCAGTTTTCCTAGGTGAAGCCAAGTTCGAGGAGGAAAACCGTAGGGTTGCAGTCTTCACTTAAGGGTTGCTAAAGTAATACCTTTCCCCTGGACCATAATTCTGTGCTTCCCATAAGTCGGTTGGTAAGCAGAAATCATTCAGCTTTCACACTTCGGATTTGTCGGATACATTTCTTGGCTCCAAAAAGGAGGGAAAAATACACATTAAAAGTGTCTTCAAATATAGAATTCTGATACAAGGGTTTGTGGATAAATATGCATCTTCAGAAGACAGGTAAGGAAAGGGAACAGAATAGGACACATCTGAACTGAACACAGAGGTTGGAAACAGTTTTCCCACCCGTTCATCCGCATGAATAAGGATGACACACAGAGAGAATCCCTGGATGCCGAAAACATAACAGGGAGCCGCAATTCTGATGGGGAAAACTCACCATTTTCCTCGCTGCGGTTGTGGCTGGCTTAAGAAGAGGCGTGTGAGCTGGCTGGGGATGGAATGGTGTGTGAAGATGATAAAGAGAGTGGAGTCTCACTTTTACAGCCGGCCAGGGCGAGCTCAGGATCCCATGGGGACAAGAAATTTGGCAACCTTTTATGGAAGTGAAGGTGGAGAAGCCTATTTTTGGAGGAATATCTTAACAGCACCTGCTACGTCTTCGCTTATCTCAGAAAGAGATCCACATTTCACTTGGTGTGTATTATTTATTTACTGCACTTACACGCCACCCAATAACCGAAGTTGCCTGGGCTTACATCCCCCAAGAATGGAAATAAAAGGAATGTGGGGGAACTATACAATGCGGCCCAAATGCAATTAAAAACAACCTAAAATCCAACACAAACTTTAAAAATGAACTAAACACATTGAGCACATGTAATAAAACAGTCCAGCACCACCTCCGGTCCTGTCCATACACCCCCTTTTTACAAACAGGGACGGGTCCTTTAGAGATGCAGGATTCTGGTCAAATGCAAATTAACACCACCCTATCCCAGGTCAGATTTCGGGTGCAATCCTTGACCCCCAGGGAAACATGACCATTTTTCTGTCCTGGGCCACACTCTCTCTGGGCGAGGGGGCCATGTGCAAGGGGAGAGGGTGTCCATTGCTAACAGGAGTGGGCCACCCCTCTCTCTCTCTCTCACCCACCCACCCACCCACACCCAGAAGGCTGAGAAGGAAGAGATGCTCAGCTCCACAGGTCACAGACAGCCTCTTCCTCTGCGCCCAGGTCCACCTCCTTCGCCCTGTCCTTCGCCGTACGTGCACACCTGGGGAAGAACATGCTGTCTGGCTCCACGGGGCTCGATCTGGGCAGCCATCCGTGGGGCTGCTGTGGTTGCCGTCGCTGCTGACGGCAACCGTGACGTCCTCGTCTTGCGGACAGGAGTGCAGCCGAAGGCTTTCACGACCTCCACGGGGCACTTCTTCTGACAAAGCGATTCGGAGCGCCGTTTGCAAACGACGGAGCAGGGGGGCTCGAGGGACCCCAGGGGGAAGGGATGCGGGTGCGTGTGTGTCGCAGGGTGTGTGGGAGGGGGAAATGGAGCAAAAGGGAACCATCATGGGGTCTTTCACGGCCCCTTTCTTCAGCCCGCTGCTGCACTAGCTTTTCTTTTTTCCCTGCACTTTTCCTGCAAAGCATCTTTCAGCATGAAGTGGCATTCGGGGGAGAGACCTTCAGTCTTCTCTTTCTAAAAAGCAAAACAGCCCATGTTGTCCCATCAGAAAAACCCACTGTCAGGAAATACCTTTATTAGAACCTGCTGAAATGTCAGAAAATAAGTAGCATGCTTTTGCTTCTTTTTCAAAGCATTTTAAATGCAAGAGGGGTGATTTTCTCTCTGAGTTTTGCGATGCTGAAAAAAGCCCTGGAGTGGTGAATTAAATTAGAAATTAAATAGAAATGTGTTGCAGCATCTTAGCATGGTCCACGCTGTGGAAAACAGCATCATGGGAACCCATGTGCTGCTCAGGTGTTAGCTGTGGGTTATTCAACCGGGCTTGGAGCAGACAGGTGTTCACATATAGGACGGTCCTCTGTAAAAGAGGACGCATGGCCACTCTGCAATAAAATGCGACGGGAGCACGCACTAGACAAAATAGGAGAGGAATTATGTCATATCAGTATGAGGCAGGCTTTATAAGAAGTCCTAAATTCATTTTCCGGGACCTCGAGCGAAAAGGACAGAGGCCAGGCAATAAGAAAGATTCTTTCCTGCTGTTTAGACCCTGCCAAGCAGAGCAGACAGTACTGGCCTCTAACATATGGCTCTTGGTTTGGTCATTTGCCTTTTAAAAAGATGATTTAACTAATGCATTCTGCAATTCTAAACACTTTTATGACTTGCTCCTGCACACCCAGGGGGATTTCCTTCCTATGCAAAATCCAGTGTAAGAACTTTTGCATGCTTAGCAGCATTGTCAATCCGTTGCAATTTTTTTTTCTTTTAAAAACCTGGTCGTACTCCAGGTGTAACCCAGCCCTTCCCCCAGTAATCCTTTTTTGAAATTGCCACAAGCATCTAATGTCTGCAGAGCTCCTTAATGCAAAGAAGAGCCCAGCTTGTCAAGGAGGAAATAAACAACAGTGCCGATGAGCCGGAACAGTCTTGTGCAATTGCTAAAACAGATCGCAGAGTAATCATATTGCAAGCCTAAGGTTTCTGCGTCCTTCCCCTGTCCACTAATGCCAAGTGGTGTTCGTCCACGCAAGGCAAAGCTGTCTGCTCAGTGGCCATCAACACGCGGATTGCGAAAAACAGCTTTCAAGCCAGCTTTCGCGATCTCTCCTTCCCAAGAGCTGCAAGGATGGGGTTGGTTGCTGGGTTCAGGTGATGAATCAGGGGGCTGCTGGGTTACAAAAACTCACGCCGGTGAGCCAGCAACCTTGGGGAAAACATTCCAGGTTTGCAGAACAGGACAACTCATCAGAGGTGGCAGCCCATGGTCTTGTGGACCCAGTGCTAGCAACTCTGCGGGATTTCGGGAGAGGATTTCTAGTCTTTCCAAGCAGGAGAGGAGCCCTTTGCAAGTCTTTGCATGCAGGAGGTTTTGATTGCCTTCCTAACCCAGCAGGACTGGATAAATCCATCTCGGTTCCCTGGAGAGGCCTTGCCCCAAGTTGGCACCAGCAAAGCCGGTCTGGATGCGGAAGGGACTGGCTCATTCCATGGCAGCGTCCCACGTCACCCTACCTGGAGAAACCAGGGAATGGATCTGAGGCCTTCCGGGTGCCGGACAGGTGCTTGACTGCTAAGCTGCGATCCCTTCCTTAGTTACCAAACAAATACAGGAGGGAAGGGAGCGGGAATAACCAAAACAAGAAGGAAATGATTCCTGTCACACCCAGCCTGGCCACTGGATGGAGATGGAGATTTGCATTGTATTTGCATTTGCAAATTTCCAGGTAGAGCTACCTGTTTTGAAAGAAAGAGCAGTGCAGCATTTCCCAGCAGAGCTGTACAGAGGTGGCCTATGCACAGGGCTAGGCCCAGGATGGGCACCCTGAGGCTCTCCAGATGGACTGGCCCACAACTCTACCCTCCCTCTCAGCCGCTGTGCTGGCTGGGGCTGATGGGAGTCAAAGGCCAAGCTTTGTAGGGTGACACAAGGTCTCCACGATGAGGACTGCTCTCTGGCAATGCTGCAAAGAGAGGATTGCGCTCCCTGGTTCACGTGTTGGACCTGAGGTCCAGGAGATCTGGGTTCCAGTCCTCCCTTGGCCATGCGGCTCAGTGGGGGGCTTCCGACCAGTCACAGACCCTCAGCCCAGACTACCTCTCAGGGTTGTTGTGAAGGTAAAATGGAGCTACGGAAGATACTTTGGGTTCCTCGTAAGAGGAAAAGGTGTGGGATAGACATGCAACATAACAATAACACCTCTGGCACTGAACTTTCCAGCACCCTTGCCCAGCTGCACAGGAGGCAGGATGGGGCCCGAGCACCTGATCAGCTACAAATTTTGAGTGCCAACACACCCTTTTGATTACTGCATGTACAGGCCGCTCAAAACCTGTTTCAGAATTCCTTGGGGAAGGAACGGATCCAGACTACCGGAGCACCTGCTGCTGCCCTTAAAGATTTAGCAGACCATATCCCAGCTGGATGACCATTCCCAGGAGCAAAGAGGTTTTCGACTCGTGCACCAAATAAGGGAGGCTGCCAGAGAGCGCACATGTATTTAGAACGCCGTCAAGGGGGTTGAAAGTTAATAGCTCTGAAATCTGCTAAGTTTGCTTCTGCCAGGCCCAGGAGAAAGTAATGCCAAAGACGCCATGGGGTGAGATAGCTAACAGCCTGAGTGTTGCACAGACACTCCTCCAATTCTGGATCTGTCGAAGTCTGAAAAAGTGCCACAGATTGTGGACGCTGCTGCTTGCTCTCTAGCCATCGCCGTTGCCGGTGCAGTGGCAAAACGGGCTTCGGGACCAAAGCCAGGCCCAAAATGGCAGCTCCGTGGGCAGAGCTTTCTGCAGCTGCCCAGTAAC